CCTTGGGATCCCTCGTACAGGAGTCAGAAGGCTTCACACGCTTCTGACAAAGACCTCACACTTCACGGCAGAAAATAGGAGCTCGGGTGAGGGCAATCATTGAGGCGTTTTTCTTTGGATGATAAGGAGGTCAAACCTGGGTCTTTGGATGGTTTGGGTTTTCGGTCTGTTGGATGGTCCGAGCTTCGGGCAGAATGGCAAGTTCGGTGCATGGTGTCCTTTCGTGTCAAGGTTCATCTTAGGAAGACTTTGCCTTTGAAGTTGAGTCCCGATGACATGGTCAATTTCTCAGCCTAACCTTGGGCAGATCTGGAGATTGGATGACATTTGCTTTTGGAAGACATTGGAGATGACGCTTTGAAAGAGATTTCAAGGAGGGATTGCATCGCTGAGCATTGAAACTCGGGCTGGGACGGGACGCAAGAAAGAGTTCTCAAAAAACGGTTGAACCATGTTGATTTGGCTGGACAGATGTTTTGCAGGTGTTTCCTCATTTTTCCTCCATACATCAGGATAGTTTTGGGGCAACTTTTGACCAACGTCCATTGGAACATTATGTTAATATAATTAAGCTTAATTAGTTATAATTAGTTGAAGCAGCAAGGTGTTGCTTCGCTCAATGTATAACAACAAGCCTTCAACATCCATGATCAACTACAATTCCAGCCCCACTCTTCCAAACGTCCCTCACCTTCCGGTCCGCGCCCCCCCCCCCCTGGTCCTTCCGACCCTTTGGCGGTCGCGTCGGCCGAGGTCGTGAACATCTCCAACGTGGACTACGAACGGCTCCAGGCCACTGAGGAGCTGGACACCTCCATCACCGCCATCGCCCCTCGTGGTGAAAGACCACACGAGAAACGAGCGGAAACGCGCCCATGGTTCGAAGGAGCCTGGTGGACCATGCCCAGTTGATTCTGTTCCATGTTCGCAAAAAATACTACACAACTACGTAACTAGGGTTTTTTCCCAGGTTAGTGGACCCGGGAAAGAAGACATGACAACAACACACCCAGCAAATAGAACCAAAACATATCGTAAAACAACATCTGCATACCATGGCCACTATTCACTCCTGGTACACCAAGAGTTTCCATGTTCTGACCAACGGGGAAAAGACACGCGTTATGGTCGTTTTACCCACTATGTCACATGGTTCGTGGGAACCACAACAAAATCACTAGGACCACTATGGGTGCCACAATCCAGTCTGGCAGCCGTTTGGGAGTTTGGGTATTTGATGCCTTCCCCGTTGATGCCTTCACCATGGCACTCTCAGATGTAAGCCCAACATCTGCGGGATGCTGAGTGTTTAGTTTGATTGCAATTGTTTGACCCATATCCGTCAATTACTCAATTACCGTCATGTCTTTTGTTGTGCTTGGAAATTTCAATCTTTCTGATCCAGCGTTTCATCGCGTTTCATGCAATGCAGATTGGTTTACACGTGGCCTTTCCAGACACCTCTTTCTTCGCACAAACACGCCGAAAACACGCCAGCGCCTCACCTCAGCCGCAGCACCAAGGATGCCGTGATCCCCTAGGAGGCTATGTGGGGGCGGAACACGGTCACATCTGAAAGCAAGATGTACCTCTGGTAAAGGAATACTATAGAATGACCTACCTTTGGGGGGGCCTCGTTTTTGAGAAGTTGAGAATGTTATTGTGGCTTGAGACTAGATGGATGCAACGGCACAAAATCCCCATATGTCGCTGCATCTACTCTGGCTGACCCGGCTGATGCTGTCAGCTGAGTCCCACCGAGCTTCCCCAACAATCTCCGAGTATCATACCCTAGGGATCCCTCCAAGTATACATAAAAGAGAGTCCAATCACCTTCTCAGAGAGTATGTGGATCCATAGGAATAGGTTAATCATGGTTCAGCTTGGATCCACCTAGTCGGGGACCCTCGGCATCGATCGCCTTCGCCTGCGCGTTGCGAACTCGGTCACATTGGACCTTGTCACATCGGCTCCACATTGGGTTCGATGGGAAAACCCATTGAACTGAGCTCACGGGCTCAACCTGGGTTTGGCGTTCAGGTCAATGGTCAACCTGGGTTTGGCGTTCAGGTCTGTCCCACATTTTGAGACAAGTGCCATCCACTCCCCCGGCATCGGGCATGTCACATGTCCACAGGCGTCCATGTTGGAGGTTCACCCGGCCGAAATGGCCGGCGGTGAAGTGAACAGATCAGTCTTTGATCCCATCGCCAACCACCAAGGTGGCTAATTACTGGCAAAACTGTTGTGTTGACGATATGTATATTGATTTTATTGTAGTATATTGTAGTCCTCTTTCAGCCAGGCATGCGTGGGCGAGCATCGGCATGATGCCACTGCGCAGCCTTCGTGAGGGCTGGCGCGGTTTGCTTCAAACACGGATCAGTTAGCGACGAGTTAGCGTATGTTCGCGCTACTAATTATCGCGAGGTCTATTTCGACGAACCATGTTGGGTTCAGAGGTGTGCTTTTGACAGCGTTTGGTTTTATGCAGTTTCAAAGCCTCTTTTTTGGGTTATGTGCATTTTTGTTGATGTCATTTTTGTATCGCAGGAAATGCATTGCAAGAAAGGCACAGGATATTTCAGAAGATCAAGAATATGTTTAAGCATTCAATAAACAACATACAATTTGCAAAGAATCTGCAGACCAAGCGCCGGTCGTGTGGACTTACAACTAAGTCCTCGTAAAGTTGCATGGTCGAAGAACATATTGGAATAGAATAACTCTTGCATAGCTTGGAAAATTTAGCATAGTTCAGCATAAGTTCCGCATAAGTTTAGCATGCGTATGCAAGTTATGCTGAGCCTGCAGAAAGTTTAGCATATATGCTGAACTTGCTAAACTAAGATAAGAACGAGTTCAGCATATTATGCAGAACTCAGGAAACATATGCTGAACTACTTGCATACACTTTGGGAACTTATGCTGAACTTATGTATCCTTCGTTTTTTGGTATAAAGGTAGATGAAGTTGGTATGTGGCGTAGTTTGCTTGTGAGGTGACACAACTGCTAGAGTTCTAGAGTAAGTCACGCTCATATTGGGACAGAGTCACATTTTGCTGGAGATCCAGAAGCCAACTTAAGCCAACGTAAACTCGTGACTTCTCGCAGAAAAAAAAAGAGTCCCCGCGTCGCCGGTACAACTATTTTTTCATATAAACTCAGCACCGCGCATTGCGGACCATCGATTTTCAGGTATCTTCACTTTATGCGTTGGAAAAGCTCTTGCGCAAACACGCTGCCCAAACCGTAAACTCAAATAGGGCTCGTGATAATCAATAGTTCGCGCTTTATGACCTGTACAGAAACGCAAGTTTGGATGGTAAGCTGAGCTTGATGGTAAGAGCTTGTTCATTCTTGTCATTCCTTCGGGTCATTGGACCCGAGTGTTCGTTCAACCGTCATCTCTTCGCGAAGAGACATCCTGGCTTTACATCCAAAGCATAGCGTTCTCCGGCTGAAGCGGAGAAACTGCGATCTTCGGCTGTTGTGAAGAGCTCGGTTCGGCTGAAGTGTCCGCGATGCGAATTCATCGATGGAGGCACTGAGAGGCACCTGGCCATCTAGCGCCCGCACAAAAGGTTGTTGCCGGCGAACGACGGGTCTTCTCAAGTGCACAGTGCAGCCTCCACTTTCGTTGCCCAGCTGCTAATGTGTACAGTTTCGAATGGGCGAAAGAATTCGGGGCCTCATGGTCAGCCCATGCTGGTCCGCCCGTGGATCGAGTGGATTCACTCTTTTTTTTCCCAATTCATCTTTTGGCTGATCTGTGCCGATCACAATTTGCACATCTGAAAGAGACTCGGAGCATCGACTTGCGTCGACGCCGCGCCGGGCTTGTTTGGAGCATTCGAAAAGGGCTGCGCAACAAAAGGGCTGCGCTGCGACTTGGCTCGTTAGAATGATTGAATCAGCCACCTCACAGGTCACCAGGCTGGAGTCTTTGTGAAATGACTGGACGCAGAACTGTTCAGCTGAAAGATCCTGCAAAGGAATTGAGTCATTTACAAGCAGTCAGGCTGTGAGTACTTGCTTGTTGATAGCTTAAGCATCGCAAAAAGCCTTGGTCCTTCCCTGAGCGCTCTCTCCCCCTCCGAAACAACATGACAGGAGGCCCCACCGGCGGATGGCAGCCGACGGATGACCCAGAGGCTGTTCAGCACCAGAAGACGGGATGGATCAAATTCTGGAGCCGCAAGACCATACAATTGATCTGCCAGGTAGTCGCAATTTGTTCATTTGGGATGGACAATTGGACAGTATCCTGGGGTCAAAACCCACAGCCTCATCACTGTACTGTACTGCTCAATTTGCGCTTGCTGATGCGGCATGTGAGTGCGGGATGGAATGACTCCAGATTCAGAGAACTTGCGACAAAACCTGCATCCTTTGTGGGTCCCCAGTTCAAGCTCCAAGGAACCCTCTAAATTCATGCCCAGCATGTCCTTGTGCGGTTTAGCCATTCGGTCCGCCTTGGTCCATCACTGCCCAAACGGCCCGTTTTTCTCCGCTTGACCCTGTCGACACAGTCGAGCCATAGCCAGCTCTCTCCATATTTCATGCCGGCGTGACCAAGGTCAGCAGAATGCTTCTAATGTTGTTTCTAGTAGCAAACAATGCTCCTAGTACGGCCAGGAGGCCTAGTAGCGTCCTTGCTCCTAGTAGCGATGCCAGGAGCCCCTAGTAGCTTCTTGTTACTAAATACACAGAACTTCAGAGCCAGGAAAGCTAAGAAGTCAAAAGAAGTTCCAATGAAGGGACCACAAATCCAAACACGTGTCCTCCATTTAGTGTGGGGATAGGAAACAATCCACGAATACAGGCTACTTGGGCAAGCACTGACCATCTATGAGGTATTCAGAAATGTCAGGCAACCAGCAGACCGGCAGATTCCTGACCCAAATAGGTCGCCAGAATGCGTAATTAAATTAAGGCATATCATATGCACCCTCCCCTAAAAAGTAAGGCTCTCATGAAGATCATGTCTTCGAACAAGGGGATGACCTGTGAGAAGCGTCCTTGATGGACCAACGATGAATCCGGTCATCACAGTCAACGTGGCATTGCTGAGCGGTGAAAGTGAAATACTGTCAGTGCCACTGTCCTCCAGGACCTTCGATTGGCACTTAACCAGACTCTTTTAGTCTATTTATTTACTCTGATGTGGACCTCTAGTTGTCTACTTTCAGGGATAACTTTGATATCATTGAAACGAATGACAGATCGATGTTGAGGTTCTAGAATGATCAGATCTTGCAGTACCCACATCAACTTTCATAGAAGCAGAAAGAAGCTGCCAAAGTACCCACAACTGTTGCTATCCCAAAGTACTGATATCACTGATCAACTCTATAGCCAGCATGGTACCCTACTTGATCCAAAGCCAAGTACTGCTACCGACTCGCAACCGGTTCTTTTGGGTGATACTCGTACTTTGTTCAACCCAGGTTTATGTCCGGAGTCCTCTTCCGTCCTCCACAAGGATTGCGGACTTGAAGCTGGCGGCCCAAAAGATCTTCCAGTGTTGCTTCCTGTGCCTGCTGAGTCCCGCGGGGAACAGTTTACAGTTGGACTGCCTAGTAGAGCATCAACTGCACGAGGGTGATTCTTGGAACGATTCTGCTTTATCGGAGAGAGGGAGCAATTCGATGGGTGAAGATTTATTGAAGAGATTAATCCTTTGATGAGGCCATGAAGAGTATTGGTATAATTTGCTATACTAGCCGTATTGGGGGGTTCGTCCCACTGTGGCAGTAATGCAGTGGATTCGTCAGATGCTCTTTATCTCTTTCCGGGGTCCTTAGAATCCTAGACACCTCGCTAGACCATCTATACTTTGAAGTGTAAGACTGCCGAACAAATTGCATGTTTTGCTTCGGGCCCATTCACCGACTGCTACCCTCCACTGGAAACTCGTAAGGACGGGCGGTGTCAGACCTGATTATCCCCATTGTTCCATCCTTTGATATGTTTTCATCCCTTGTCCCAAAGAAAGTAGCTTGTCCGAGACGAAGCAAGTTGGATGGTCCAAAAGGCATCGACTCCTTGATTTCTTGGGGGAACTATAGTGACTAGACAAGAATATTTCTTGGGTACCGCCCTTGAAATCTCTGAACTCTTAGAGTTCAGCACCAAGGACACCATTACGGCTTTGCGACAAACACCCCAGGTGGTCGCCACGGACCAAGCGTTTGCACTGTGGATCCCTGGTTCTCGATGTGTGACCTGGGGGAATCCTTATTTTGGAGGCGATTGCAGTAGCTCGTTCTGGCGATAGTTTGGATGATTTTGATATATGTTGTGTGTCTTTATATAGTCCTCCATGCCATCCATGTCAAAGTCACGATATGATAAGGTCTTGTAGGTCTTGTACTTGTAGGCGTGAGGAAAGAGGAATACTTAGTGTAGGCCTAAGCATGTGACATGATGAGGAAATGAGCTGTGTCTTGGGAATAACTCCTCTTCTATCCCAATGCTGTTAGGTGGGTAGATTGCTCAACCACTGAGGTTCCGTGCAAGATCAGCTCTGGAATGTTCAAGAGATGAGTGCTTCACAATCTGCCTTTGCAGCCCTTCTTGCAGATGGACGTGTTCTGACATGGGGAAGTGGGCTAAGTGGCGGCGACAGCAGTGGTGTCCAGAGTCACCTGAGCAATGTGCAGAAGATTCATGCCACAGCTTCTGCCTTCATCGCAACTTTGGGTGATGGAAAAGCTGTGACCTGGGGCATTCCACATGGTCATCACATCCAAGACCTTCTTTTGCATGTGCAGAAGGTTCGTGCCACGATGCAGGGGACCTCTGCGGCGATTCTGGGTGATGGATCAGTGCTTACTTGGGGTTCCCCAGGCCACCCGGATGTCTTTAGTATTTGTTGACGATTCTTTACCCAAGGCCCAGAGAATATCCAGATTTTTGGGAGAACTTCCAGTTCCCAAGCAACCAAGCGACCAGTGAAACTTACAGTGAAACTTGCCTGAACAAAAATAAGATCCGAGGCTATGCGGCCAGCAACGAGATGCGGCGCCAACTTCACCATGTCCAAGAGATTTCGGTCACTGATCATGCGTTTGCAGCCCTGAACGGTGATGGACGCATTGTCACTTGGGGTGTCCCGGAATTTGGTGGAAATAGCAGCAGTGTGCAGGAAGAGCTGCACCATGTGCAGAAGATTGTGGCGACGTCTGGAGCGTTTGCTGTTATTGTTGGTGAAGGAAGAGTTGTTACTTGGGGGAAGGAAGAAGGTGGTGGCAACAGCGAGAAGGTTCAGGATCCCTGATAAGGGGGTCACATTCGACGTTCATTGAAGCGATGCGTTGATCCAAGTATAGTCACATCCGGTGTTTTCAAGCTGCCTCTAAGATTACTGGTTTTGAGACGTTTTGAAACCAACATCTGATTCAGGATCATCTACGAAAGGTGAAGGATATTTATGCAACGAGATCTGCCTTCGCAGCAGTCCTTGAAGATGGTCAAGTGGTGACATGGGGCAACCAGAGGTCGGGTGGTGACAGCAGCGCAGTTCAAGATCGACTGAAAGATGTACAGCAGATATATTCCACCAACACGGCCTTCGCAGCCCTTTTGAGTGATCTAAGCATTGTGACATGGGGAAATCCCCTTGAGGGAGGTGATAGCAGTGACGTACAGCATCAACTTCGAGAGGTTCAGACGATTTCAGCCAACAAATGTGCCTTCGCCGCCCTCCTGAGCGATGAAACCGTCGTGGCTTGGGGAGACAAGACCAATGGTGGTGACAGCAGCAGCGTTCAACACCAGCTGAAGGATGTCAAGCAGATTTCTGCTGCCAGCTATGCTTTCCTGGCCATCGGCAGTGATGGCATTGTTGTGTGGGGCAATCCAGGACGTGGCGGTGACAGCCGCGGGCTTGAAGATCAGCTGCAGTATGTGTAAAAGGACCCAGCAAAAGTGGATTTGGGGATTGGTTTCCCCAGTCAATATGAGCAGTGAAAGGGTTCACCTTTGTGTTCCAGCTAAACTGAGGAAGTCGGAATGTCAAGGGGGATAGGCGGCGCCATGGCGCCAGTATTCGCATGGCTTCGCATGGCTCACCGCAGAGTTTGTCACTGGCCTAGCTAAGCGAGACACAATGTTGTAGACCAGGTAGACCAGTACACAAGCACCTAATGGCAATTTCATGGCCAAATACTTCCTCCACCTGAGATGGATATGGCAAAAGCCCGCTGTCATAGATTTTGGCCTTAAAGGACTCAGACTCAGACATATATCATATATTATATATATTGTTACTTGCCACTGACAAAGAGATGAAGCAAGCACACTCCTATTTACCTATAGGGCGGGGATATGTCTCAAACCAAAGGAATTCCTGCACAAGAAGAACATGCAGTTCTCTTCGCTCTATGACTTCTCTTGCTCTCTTGATGTTCATGGTGACATTAGGTGAGAACCCAATTATGTTCTCACCAGTGTACCCAGGACCTTCCAAATGTGTACCCACCTCAAGACCAAAACTGACCACCCTTTGCACTGGAGACATTGAACTGATGGTCTTCCAGAACTGCCAGGTTTCTTCAACGTAGTTCCACAAACAGAGTGTAGCAACACGGGCCTACCTACTCCCTTCCCCATGACAAGCACTGCCCTAATCAATAGTGCGTTTACCAATGCAACTTACATATCCTCCCACAAATCAAAACCCTTTGACATCCTTTGACTCTTTGACTTTCAAAAAATAGAATACCGGATTAACATGCAGGTTGCAGCTGGACGCCCTGTGGGATCGTCCCACATATCGGATGCGACGATTCAACTTCACGGCAGCCCCAGGCGCGGCGAAACAGTGCAGATCGATGAGAAACCCTTCACGGTAGAAATGAGAAATCAACCAATTCACCCATTGGCAGATGAGTTGGTCACTTGATGTCATTTGTATTTGGTAGATTCACTCAATTACTTCCATACTTCCACTTTCTCGTCCTTTGTTCCTTTGTATATTCTTTTGGACGCTGACCGTGAGTCTCTTGCACGCATCAGACCCCCAAAAGTATCTATCACTTCACTTATCTGCATATAACTAGACGACGAGTGGCCCGAAAGCATTTTTCATCACGTAGGAAATCAGAGTGCGAGTTACCCGGTAAGTGTGTAGTGAGAAGTGTTAAGTCGAGTGAGTTGAGGTAGTGTGTGGGTTTCTGTGCGTGTGTCTATGTCCGTGTGGAAACGAGTCTGCGTATGTGTGTGTTCGTGGAAGTTGAGGGAGTGTGTGGGTGTTTGTGCGCGATGCGGCCTCCCAAACCCCCCACCGGCGGCCAAGCGGTGACAGCCCAGCTCATCGTCGTGAGCATTTGGGCTGCTGGTAAGGGGACAATGGCAGCCAGCGTGCTGGCTTACCCACTTCAACTATGATGG